TCGGCTCACAGGTGTCAATCGAAAGAATCACGAGTTCTCATGATTTGATCTGATTCTCGCCTATGGTGATCTATCGATGACTTTATGCATTTAGTTAATGTTTCTTCTAAGTCCAGTTCGCAGTTAGTATTTTGATGAAGGATTGTGGGGGTTAGGGAAATGTTCTTTAGCCCCCCCCCCCCCCCGCCCCCCCGCCAGGGAAGGAAGGGTGCACAGGCACTCATGGGTTGAACCGAGTTGGGGTTCGGGGAGCGTACTCTGGGCTGGGCCTCTAGTCTCCCGGCCAGAGAAGGAAGGGTGCGCAGGCGCAGTGATAGCTGAGCCACGCCCACCTGCCAGAAAGTCTTGAAGGAAGAGGACGCCCGTGTAAGACAGGAGCCGGAAGAGCAGCGCAGGCGCAGTAGGGCTGGTCTCTCCCTGGAGTCCCCAGGGGGAGCCACCGCTAAACGCCCCGGGAGCCATCTTTTTTAAGGCCAAAACTACTCCCTAAATATTAAAAGTCCTTTCGATCTCCCTTTCTCTTTTGCTTTTTCTAAGAAAACACCCATCCCAAATCCTCGTTCAGAGAAGGGTTGCTCAGAGCCAAGCATCTTCCCCACCTCGAGCCCCCAGGCCCCGCCAGCCCCTACCCCAGCGGCCTGTTCTGTGGGTTCGGGTCTCGGGCCACGAGCTCGGGGAGCAGGGAGCCCGCAGCCGGGAGAGGAGCCGACGCGGCGCCAAGGCAGGGCGAGGTGCGGGAATCTTACCGAAATCCGCGAACGGCGGGCTGGGCGGGGGCCGCAGCGGCCTGCACAGCTCCAGGTGGCCAGGGCCGCCCAGGCCTGCTGCCTCCAGCCCGAGCTGGGCCGCCACGTGGCCGCGGCCGCCCAGGACAGGCTGGAAGGCGCTCGGGCCCGGGCTGGGGCCCCGCGGCGGCCTCTCGCAAAAGTAGGCAGCCGCGCGGCCCTCGGGCTCCGGCCGGAGATCTCCCGAAGCCGCCGGCGGAGGCAGCAGGTGGAGGCCTGGGCCCTGGCTGGCGGCCGCGGCCCCAGCCACCGCCCCGGCGGCCAGCTCCGGCGCCTGAGGGCCCAGGGCCAGCTCCTGCTCCTCCTCCGAGGCCTGCTTCCTGAGCACCTTCTGCGCGGCCATGATCTTCTGGCGCTCGGTGATCAGGCAGCACTTGTCGCAGGTGCACTGCTTCCAGCCGCACTTTCCCGCGTGGCCCTTGACGGGCACCAGGAAGCCGTGGTTGCGGCACCTGGAGCACTTGGGGGCGCGCAGCATCTTGTCGGCCAGTTTAGCAGCGTCTGCCTTCATCGTGCAACCGCCACCTCGGGGAGCCGCGGAGCAAGTGGCGCAGCAGTGAACTGCGCCCCACAAGTCCCTGGTGCTGGGGACATTGGATACACTTGTAGCAAACCGGCACGTAGTGCGTCCCGAGAAACGCCCAAAAACTGCCGCCAGACCCTTGGCATTCTCTCGCCCTTTTTTTTTTCAGTGCAGTGCAAACGTTGGGATTTCTGTGCCTTTGGTAAGTAGGTGCAAGGGATTGGGTTAAATACATTCTTCATGGAGTGCTATTGCATGCATGTCATCTGGAATATCTGTAGTCTCAGGCATTTAATTTTTCAAACTCGATATTCCCGCCATCCCAAGACGGGAGGTACTTCGTGATTTAAAAAAAAAAAAAAAAAAAAGGCGGAGTGATACCCAGCGGCCCACAGATTTAAAACTTTAGAAAATCGCCTCTTAGTAAACCCGTGACAGTATAAAAGCACTTTAAGAGGCAGAACGCCTTTCTCCTTCCCGAGGCTGCTGCTTCTGCGGAAGTTCATGTCTCTTCCTTGTAGAGAAACAGCCGTTCACGGGGAGGCTTCTAGAATATTCTCGGGCACTCCGTGCCGCGTGGGGGTTGCTGAAGGGTGTGTCCTTCCAGTCATTCCGGCTGGGGAAGAGTGTTGGAATAGGAATCCGTTTCTGGAAATGGTGCTTTTCTGTTGCTGATGCCTTCGGGAGGCAAACATGCTTAGAATGTTTTCAAGTAAAATAAACCAAGGGTATTTTGGCACTGGCCTGAAGCATTGCTTAACTCTTTGGTTGTCGCTCTGAAGCAATCCAGGTCTTGGGAAAAGCCGGCACAGGCTTCATAGTTTACCCAGGGGCACTAAATCAATACGTATTCTTGATTTCTCTCTCTTTTTTAATAGAAATTGGTGAATCCCTGAGGTCCTTTTATTTGGGCAAAGGGAAAAAAAAAGAGGTGTGGGATGGGCCGCTAACCGCTGACAGGCTTCTAATCGTAGGCTGACCCTACTGAAGGAGGCAGTGAAGGTTAGCCGCTGGCTAAAGTGTGTGTCGGCTACTGCCCTCTGTTCAGGATGCTCTTCCTGGCTAGCATGGCAGGTGCGGCCTAGCTGTGCACCCTGCCGGTCTCACCAGCTGCCTGGGGATAGGAAACCATTGCCTTTCTGAGACCCGTGAGAGGGTAGAAAGCTGAGAGGAGGTTTGTAGTCTTTTTCTGCTTAAAAAAATATTCTTCATCTTAATAACAGGGCAAAAGTAGATGTCACCTGTATTCTTTAGGAATGCTGCCATTAGCTTTGCATTCATTTAAAGAGGGCTACCTTTGTCTCTGCTTCACTCTTAACACTATATATTTTTTAAAATTATTTGTATTCATCCGAGAGGCAGACTGACAGACGGAGGTCCCATCTACTGGTTCACTCCCATTTAAATGTCCATAACAGGGCAGGCGCTGTGGTACAGCAGGTTGGGCTATGGCTGTAGCTGCAGCACCAGCATCCCATGTGGGCTGTGGTTCAAGTCCAGGCTGTTTCACTTCCAGTCCAGCTCCCTGCTAGTATACCTGGGAGGGCCCAAGTCTTTGGGCCCCTGCACCACATGCAGGACCTGGAGGAAGCTCCTGGCTCCTGGCTTCCGCCTGGCTCACCCCTGGTCATCGCAGCCATTTAGGGAGTGAACCAGCAGATGGAAGATTCTCTCTCTCTCTCTCTCTCTCTCTCTCTCTGTAAGTCTACATTTCAAATAAATATATACATCTTAAAAAAATAGCAGTGCTGAGCCAGGCCACAGCCAGGAACCAGGAACTCTTTCTGGGTCTCCCACATGAGTGGCAGGAATCCGGATACTCGAGCGATCACCTGCTGCCTCCCAGGGTGTACGTTAGGTGGAAGCTGGAATCAGGAGCAGGACTGGGACTCGAACCCAAATACTTCCATGGGGGATGCAGACATCTTAACAACCAGATCAAAGGCCCACCCCTACATTAATTTTTTTTTTATTTTAAAAGCATGATCCTTTGGATAAAGGATAGGCAAGCTCTTTTCCTCAACCCACCCATTTCAAATTGTGGGTTTTTTTTTCCCTGACTTTGTAATTTTTTGAAAGGTACTTAAAAACCGTAGTTTCATTTGTGCTGTCAGAAAATCTGGGGCACCAGCTGCATTATGTCAGGATCTCACATTATCAGATTTAAACTTGAACATCAGGTGACAATGCACAGTAAGGCCTATGAAAGAAAACTACTCATTTACATTTCATGCTTGACCACCCAAGCCCTCTGTATTTTCTCATTAATGATTTAATGGAAAATCCTATTGAAAGCAAGCTGTTGGAGTTAACATATTTTAGCCCTGTTAACTACAAAATGCTTCCGTATTCACTTCATAGCTTTAGGGGCAAACTATACCCATGGTGAGGTGAATTTGCGTAGTGCTTTGAGAACATTAATAAACAGCCATATATCTTTTTAATCAGCAGTCACATTCTAAGATGCAGAAACCCCAGGGCTTATACAGTAAACAAATTTAAAAAGGAAAAGACTAGTTTATTTCTGTCTTCCCCCCAAAGTCTCAATTTGTGTAGGTAAATTTCAGCAGCTTTATTTATTCCACTCTTGGAAATTCAGGCAAATTGGTAGTTTTATTTAGGTTGATGACGGATTACTCCTTAGGATGTTGCTTTTAAAAAATGTATATATATATATATATATATATATACACACACACACACACGCATTTCTTTATATATATACATTTCTTTAAGTTATTTAAAAAGATGGTGGGGCCAGCAACTGGCCTGGTGATTAAGGTGCTGCTTGAATGAGCACATCCCATCCCAGTACCTGGCCTGGGGCCTCGCTCTGCTCCCAATTCCAGGTTCCTGTTAAGGTGCACCCTGGGAGGCAGCAGATGACAACTCAAGAAGCTGGGCCCGTGCCAGCCACATGGGAGAACTGGATTGAGTTCCTGGCTCCTGGCTTCCAGCTGGCCCAGCCCCAGCTCTTGTGGGCATTTGGGAAGTGAACTAGCAGATAGATGATTTCTTTCTCTCTCAAATAAACTTTTAATTAAAAAAGTTAAAAGATGATGTTATAAAGGTAGAAAACTGGAAGTCACAAAACATTAAGCATGCAATGGACAGCATCCTTCCACACTCTAAACCCTAGGAAATCTGTTTAAGGCAGGCGGTTATAAAGTGACAGTTTATAGTTGCTGAGGCATCACCAGCTTGGCTAATTAATCACAAGAGGACTGCCTGGTGGTGTCTGACTCCCCACTTTAGATCCGGCCCCTTTTCTCTCCGGGGCTGGGGGAGGCAGTGCCCTAAGGCGTCTGCTCTTCAGGTACTGTCACTGCTCTTGGCCCTGTTTCATTCGCATCCACTGTAGAGAGCCTTGCATCATGCAGTGTACGGCTCCCTTACGGTAAGCGCACAGGAATGAGGAAGGGCAGTTTTGCCTCTAGCACCTGTCCCCCTGCAGCTATAACCCAGATATCTGCTCTCTTCCCCGCCTTGAGGCCCTCTCCAAGGAGCGATGAAAAGTGTATTGAAGATTTCCCACGGATTTACCTGACACGTCCTGCGGCAGGTGCCCTAAATCCTGCCCAGCATCTCTGCGCGCTCCTGACCCTCCTCTGCTGGGCCCCGCCTGCCAGAGGGTCCTCCCCCACCCCCAGGAGCCGGCCTCTGGTTCCTCTCTCCGTCCTTGGCTTCCTTGTCAGCCCCTGTAATGGCTCTGGCTGTCCTACTTCCCTTTTTGTCCAGCATATAACAGGCATTCAGTAAATGCTTGTTGAATGGATAAACGAATCTGGCCTCCCTCTCTCCTGCCACTGTCAAAGTTGTCTGCTCCCTAAATGGCGTCATAAGTCAGCTTGGCTCCAGCCACTGTCCCCAAGCATCACGCAAGTCCTTGGCAAAACAGAAAGCCCACCATGATCAGGACCATTCTGACGGGCAGGGTGGGGGGCTTCACGTTGCTTCCTTGAGCTCACCCCAACCCTAGATGGTTCAATAACAGTGGCAATGATAGCTATATGTGCCAGCAACCCTTAACATCTTTTATGTGTATTAATATAATTATCTATTCATCTCATCTTCACAACTAGCCTTTAAGGTAGGTACTGGTGTTTTACACGGAAGAAACTGAGTTCTAGAGGAGTTAAGAACTTTCCCAGGTTTCGTGGCCATTAAGTGGCAGAGCCATGATTCAAAACCAAGAAATCTAACCTCGGAATCTATGTGCTTAAGAGTATGTTTGCTAACCCAAACATATTTCTTCTAAACGAAACAGTGTTCTCCCCAAGAAGGCTGGGGTGATGAGCAGAGATGTCTTACTGTAATTCAGACTTCATACACCTGGGGCAAAAGGAGGTGGAAGTGGTAGCAGCCTGGGGACGCCCCCGGGAAGGCCGGTGTGCTGCTCGTGCTCGCGGAGGGCAGCTCTGTGCTAAGCCGCGGCACGCGGAAGTAAGCAGCACGCAGGATGCTCACCGTTAGGCTTACCATCCGGCCGGCAGTCCAGAAAATAATTCCGGGTGGTGAAGGTCTGGGAGAGGCCCAGGAATCTGTGGGTGAGAAGCCAAGGAAGCCTCTCCTGAGGGGTACTGTCCCACAGATGCCTAAGGTGAGCAGGAATTAGCCGCGTGCAGAAGCAGGAGCGCCGTGGAGCGCCGTGGAGCGCCGTGGAGCGCCGTGGGCCTCGTGCTTGGAGGCCTGCAGTGCGGCCGTGGCACAGTGAGCTGGCGGGCTGGGGAGTGAGGGCTGGAGGGGAAGGGAGCGGCTGGAATGTGGGAGGAGTCCTGGGGAGGACTGAGACCCAGGAGAAGAAGTGGCAGAGTCCAGCCAGACGGTAACCTTGGTTCTCTTCAGAGGACGGAACGACCCGCAGCTAGGACTCAACGTAGGTGTTGCGAGATTAAAATGCCGCGGAGCAGGGTTTGTCTGAGGCACACTTTGGAGGCTAGCCACGGACCTGCACCAGCGCTGGGCTGCGCAGGGCTTCCTCCGAGCCCTGGGCTGCTGGTGGCTGCCTCACCTGACCTCCCCTAGGAATGGTAAAGAGTGAGGCAGAGAGCAGAGAAGACGAAGGGAGAGAAGCAGGCGCGATGCAGCCACCGGTCGGAGAGCTGCTGGAGGCTGTGCGACTCTGCAGCACGGGGCATGTGCAGCCTCTGGGCAGGCGGGGCCACCCAGAGGGGCACTGGCCGCCGTGTGGGACCCAACGCTGACTTTGGCTTTTACTTGCCAATTGGATAAAAAGAAATTTTCATAACATACATAGCTGACTGCATGCCTTCTGATGATACTACCAAACTCCTAGAAATTTCAAGAAGTTTTCTGAGGAGAGGAGAGACACATGTCCCTATGAACACATTGCTAAAAGAGAATAATATAATCACCAATGTCTCTACCCTTTGGGGGCAGGCATCGTGGCGCAGTGGGTGAAGCTGCTGCTTGGGACACCTACATCCTGTACCAGAATGCCTGGTCCAAATCCTGGCCAGACCTCTCTCTTTCTTTCTTTCTTTCTTTCTTTCTTTCTTTCTTTCTTTCTTTCTTTCTTTCTTTCTTTCTTTCTTTCTTTTAATTTATTTGACAGGTAGAGTTATATACAGTGAGAGTTATAGAGAGAGAGAAACAGAAAGATATTCCTTCCGTTGGATGGCTGCTGTGGCCGGAGCTACACCGATCTTAAGCCAGGAGCCAGGTGCCTCTTCCTGGTCTCCCATGCGGGTGCAGGCACCCAAGCACCTGGGCCATCCTCCACTGCCTCCTGGCCACAGCAGAGAGCTGGACTGGAAGAGGAGCAACCGGGACTAGAACCCGGCACCCATATGGGATGCCAGCACTGCAGGCAGAGGATTAACCAAGTGAGCCACGGCGCCGGCCCCTGTGGGCCCACTTTCTATCCAACTTCCTCTGCCACCTACATGAGAGACTCAGATGGAGTTCCAGACTCCTGGCTTTGGCCTGCTCTATTCCTGGCTTTTGCAGGCATTTGGGGAGTGAACCAGAGAAGGGAAGAGATTGTGTGTGTGTGTGTGTGTGTGTGTGTGAGAGAGAGAGAGAGAGAGAGAGAGAGAGATGTTTAGCCTTTCAAGTAGATGAAAATAAATAAAATTTAAAAAGACCTCTGCCCTTTGGTTAAAATACAAAATCCACTTAACACACAGTCATGAATTAAATGTTTATATAATACAGGGGTACTGTTCCCTAGTAAAATCTGAGCACTTGGGGTGCCAGCGTTGTGGCATAACAGGCAAAGCCACGTCCTGCAATGCTGGCACTCCTTATGGGTACTGTCCCGTCTGCTCCACTTCTGATCCAGCTCCCTGCTAATGGCCTAGGAAAAACAGCGGAAAATGGCCCACGTGCTTGGGTCCCTGGCACTCTCTTAGGGGACCAGGGTACAGCTCCTGACTCCTGGTTTCGGCCTGGCCCAGCACTGGCTGTTGTGGTGAACCAGTGGATGGAAGATCTGCCTTTTCCTCTCCCTGTAACTCTTTTGAAATAAATAAATCTTCAAAATAATTTTTAAAAATCAGAGTTATAAAGAGCAAAAGAACAAAGAAAATTAATCTCTTTTCTGTGTATTTCTTTGGTTTCTTAGAACATTAAATTCCTATTTATATGTATAAATTTTAAAAGCTGCCCCAATTGTGCTTCTCTGAGAATGGCATGCAAATGTCAGGAATTTCTCTCTCAAGAGTCCTTTTCATTTCATGTCGCAGAGTCAGGACCAATTCAGTTCGTGTAGTAAGTGAAAACAGATGGCCTGAAACACCACTCCGAAGACGGGCAGGCTGGGCGCGGACCTGCTCATTCGCCAGGGGCCCTGTCACCACGGTGAAACTCCTGCACTTGTTTGAGGCGCAGCCCAGTAGTAGTAGTTGTGTGATGTGCTGCAAATTTCAGTGTCCCACACTTGTCCTTCTGAGGGATAACAATGGTTAGTGAATGCTTGCAGCTTTGCAGGGATGCGCTCACTTAAACCGCAGTACCGGGTCTGTAAGGGAGCTGTTCCTATTGTGTCTGTTTGGCAAATGGTAACACTGAAGCTTAGGGCTAAGAACCATCTCACCCAGGTACACAGGGAGTTAGAGAAGCATGAGGGACCACCCTCCACGGCTGCCTCTTAGCCACTCTGCTACAGAGCCATCCCAGAGGTATTCTATTTACTTTACAATAAAGTAAAACCTCTTGATCTTGCAGGATTAGTGAGATCGTGCATCGGGGGTGCCAGCAGTGTCTGGCTCTGGCATATGGTTAGTGTGCATCACATCGTATGGAGGAGGAAGAAGGAGCAAGGGCAAGGGCACGAGGAGCAAGCGGCGTCTCTGACCTGCACGAGGCCACTTCTGATCACAAGATGTAATCAGCTGCATAAGCTGTCCAGATTTATCTCCAGACCTAGAGGAAACCCAAGCTGTTCAACACTGTCGCCGGTACCCTTCATGGCTATTAAGCACTATTAAGCCAGTCTGAATTAAGATTTACTCAAAGAGTAAATACACACCAAGTCTCAAAGACATAGTATGAAAGAAAGAATGCAAAATATCTCAACAGTTGTTTTATGTAGATTACATGTTGAAATAATATTTTGGATATATTGAGTTAAACAACTTTTTTTAAAAAAGATTTATTTATTTACTTGAAAGTCAGAGTTACACAGAGAGAGGAGAGGTGGCAAGAGAGAGAGGTCTTCCATCCACTGGTTCACTCCCCAGTTGGCTGCAACGACTGGAGCTGCGCCGATCTGAAGCCAGGAGCTTCTTCTGGGTCTCCCACACGGTTGCAAGGGCTCAAGGACTTGGGCCATCTTCTATTGCTTTCCCAGGCTATAGCAGAGAGAGGATCAGAAGTGGAGCAGCTGGGACTCTAACCAGCCTCCATATGGGATGCCGGCATTGAAGGTGGCGGCTTTACCCAGTATGCCACAGTGCTGGCCCTGAGTTAAATAACATTTTAAAACATTTATTTATGGGACCTGTGTTGTGGTGTAGTAGGCTAAGCCTCCATCTGTGGCACTGGCATCCCATGAGGGCGTCAGTTCTTGTCTCGGCTGCTCCTCTTCCAATCCTGCTCCCTGCTAATGGCCTAGGAAGGCAGTGGGAGATGGCCCAAGTGCTTGGGCCCCTGCACCCACATGAGATCCCCAGAAGCAGCTCCTGGCTCCTGGCTTTGGATTGGCCTAGCTCTGGCCCCTGTGCCCATCTGGGGAGTGAACCAGCAGATGGAAGACCTTTCTTTCTGTCTTTCTCCCTCTCTCTCTGTAACTCTGACTCTGAAATAAATAAATAAAATCATTTAAAAGAAAACACACTTGTTTATTAGAGAACTCCCATCCCCTGGTTTATTCTTCAAATATCTGCAACAGTGGGCAAAGCCAGGAGACTCAGACCTGGTCTCCCACACGGTTGGCAGGGACCCAACTAACTGGATCCGTCACTGCTGCCTCCCAGAGTCTGCACTCACAGTGAGCTAGACCGGAACCAGAGCCAAGAATTGAACCCAGGTATGTGCTGTGAGGCACAGGCATTGTAACTGGTGGCTCAGCCACCAGGCCAAATGCCCATCCCAATATATATCTTTTAATTTTTTTAATTTTTAAAATTTATTTGACAGGTAGAGTTACAGACAGTGAGAAAGAGAGAGAGAGGTCTTCCATCTGCTGGTTCACTCCCCAAGTGACGGCAAAGGCCGGAGCTGCACAGTTCCAAAGCCAGGACACAGGAACTTCTTCCGCGTCTCCCTCATGGGTGCAGGGGCCTAAGGACTTGGGCCATCTTCTACCACTTTCCCAGGCCACAGCAGAGAGCTGGATTGGAAGTGGAACAGCTGGGACCTGAACCAGCACCCATATGGGGACACCGGCACAGAAGGTGCCGGCCTCACCCACTAAGCCACAGCACCGGCCTCCAATATATTTTTTAATGTGATTCTATGTTTATAATGTAGCCACCAGAAAATATGAAATTACATGCATGCTCTGCCTTACATTTCTCTAGCACAGCACTGCACGGGAGATTTGTTTGCTCCGTCCTCCTTCCGTGTCCGAAGAGCAGGCTTTGAACAGCAGCTCCAGCTCAGGCTGCTGCATCAGCTCCTGGGGCCCCGCGGCTTTCCCACGCCCCTCGGCACGCTGGCTAGATATTTCCACTGGCATGAAGCTCTACTCTCTGCTACTTAGGGACTTTCAAATGGCATCAAAATGCTGGCTCGTGCTTTGGAATTATCCATTTTTATATGGCAATCTGAAGAATCCAATAAAACTCTAGTTCGCATTTTGAATGTGGGTTTGTTTTCATATTTATCTTGTTAGGTATAAATGTCCAGTGAGACGCTGTGCAAGGGAGGAAAGAAAGAAGGCCGCCGTGGTGTACTGAGGTTACAGCAGGCCCCAGACCTCGCCCACCAGCCTTGGCTCAGAGGGCACGGGTCAGTGGGGTCCCTCTTGACAACTGTAGGCCCCCGGTGGTTAACGTCATTAAGAACTCTGGGAATTTAATCTTGCAAATATGTGATTAATGCCCTCTACCTCCCCCTGGACCCACTAGGGGCGCTCGAGTAGCTTTGCACAAATAGATCCTCCAACACAAAAAGGCATTAAGACTTGATGTGATGATTTTCTCCTGAACACAGAGAGACTGTCACCGCCCACAACATCTTCTTTAAACATGGTTAAACTTACTTAGTTTAATCAGTTTGGGGATTGTTGATTTTTGCTCTTTAACTTGCCAGATACATCAGAAATATTTATTCTAAGAGATAGTTTAGGGAACTCCGTAATTCCCAATCTGTCAGAGTTTTACAAATAAACCTCAGTTGAAGGCCTATCATTGTTTCCAATCTGGAGAAACAAAAAAGAGTATAGTATACAAGTCATCAGAATAATTAGTTGATTGGGGTTGAATAATTTTAAGAATAAACATTTGACCCCCTGGCACCTCATAAACCACCTGGAGTGAGAAGGGCTATAAATTAAATGCACAAGATGTAAAATGGTCCAGTTACACACTTAGCACTATTGCGAACATGTGGGACACATTACACAAGTTAAAACCAAGTGTGGGTTTAGAGTTTGGCCATCTTTCATCAGAGGCTTACTAAAGCTGTATTCCTTTGGTGTGAGGATGGGGAGGGGGGTGCAGGGAAGTGCGCAGAAAGAAGGGACTAGTGGCAACAGTGCCCCCTGCTGCCCCATCGCCACACAGGGACACGCTACCCAGCGGGACTGTGAAAGCATGCTTAGGGAAGTCAGGCAGGAAGGAAGGCACAGTCGTCCAGGTCTCACAACACGGCAAGCGCTGTGCACCATTTAACTTAATACCATGAAGCTCACTGCAAATTCAGCAGAGAACAAGACGTGATGAAGGCTCTGAGGCTTGGTGAATTTGGGTAACATTTACAAATTTCATAGCCCAAGTAGAAGAATCCAGAAGGGGAACCTAGGCGTGCCTGGCTCCCCAGCCTGTGCTTCTTGGTCTCCCCCACAGCAGTCTGCTAGAAGCTGAAGGCTGCTGGGGCTGGGACGGGAAGGCTTTCAGGGACGCTGCGCTTGGAGTGCTACAGCCTGCAAAGCCCAGGACAAGGCGGCCGCTGTAGCTGGAATCCGCCTGAACAAAGCCCGTTCGGAAAGGGAAGGAAGCCTCCCAGCTGGCAGCCCCCCTCCGCGGCCCAGGTGAACAATTTCTGTCCCACTTATTTTATGTCTTGACACATCCTGGGGCATTGTCAAAGCAACTTATATCTCTGCCACTCACGGCTCCTTCAGTTCCTGTCCCAGATCATCAAAGTCAGGAGAGGCTGAGCTACCGGCTTACCCACTCCAGTGAAGGGGAAAGAGCAGGGGCCGAGGCCTCAAAGAGAGCCGAGCCGTGCGAGGATGGAGGGGGGCCCGCACAGGGCCGTGAGGAGCTGAACCGCCGTGCCTGGGGACCTACTAATAATACATGCTCAGGACCCTGAGCTAGTACTTCACGCACACTCTCGCTCCTCACAGCAACCCTAAAAGGCAGTTACAATGAACCCACGTAAGTCTTAAAAAAGGAAAAGTGAACAAGCTCACAAAGAGGCTAAGAGGGCTGGTGCTGCACAGCGGTTAAGGTGCCACTGTGAGGCCAGCGAGATCAGAGCGCCGGGACAAGACTCAGCGGCTCTGCTCCCGATCCCTGTTCCTGCTATTGAAGCTGGGACGGCAGCGCAAGATGGCTCGGGTCCTTGGGTCCCTGCCAGCCACACAGGAGATCAGGATGGAGTTCCCGGCTCCTGGCTCCAACCTGGTCCAGCCCTGGCTGTTGGGTGAACCAGCTGATGAAAGATCTGTCTCTCTCTCTCTCTCTCTCTCTCTCTCCCTGTCACTCTTTCAAACAAATATTTATTTTTTAAAAAAGAGGCTCAATAATTTGTCTAAGGTCACACAGCTAGGAAAAAAAATGGAACTCAGAATTTATCTCTGCACAAAGCTATGTGACTTTTCTGACCACATCCCAGTGTCTTACATTGTGATGTATGTATAAGAAATACCTCTGGGGGCTGATGCAGTGGTGCAGTGGGTTAACACCCTGGCCTAAAGTGCTGGCATCCCATGTGGGCACCAGTTCAAGACTGGGCTGCTCTGCTTCCTGTCCAGCTCTCTGCTGTGGTCCAGGAGAGCAGCAGAGGATGGTCCAAGTCCTTGGGCCCCTGTACCCACGTGGGAGACCTGGAAGAAGCTCCTGGCTCCTGGCTTTGGATCGGTACAGCTCTGGCCGTTGCGGCCATCTGGGGAGTAAACCATCGGATGGAGGACCTCTCTCTCTCTCCCTCTCTCTACCTCTCCTCTCTCTGTGTAAGTCTTTCAAGTGAATAAATAAATCTTAAAAAAAAAACCTCTGTGGTCTTCCTGCTGGCTCCTGGCACAGAGGAGCTGTGTCATTTCCTGAGTAGCAGGGGTGCCAGGAACATCTTTTGTGATATTCTCCTTAGTCGCCAGGTCCTGGCAGGAGCTCCTAAGACCCCTGGCATCTCTGTGGGAACAGTGTCCTTGTGCGTGATGCTGAGGTTGCTGATGGGTCCCCTGGGCAGCTGAAGGATGGCGCTGGTCACCAGGAGGCTGGCCTCATCAGAGAGCAGGCCATGTCAGCCCCCACCCCACCTCCAAGGAGCAGAGAAGGGTTGGAGACTGAGTTAATCACCAAGGGCCAACGACTTCATCAGTCATGCCTAGGAGTGAGACCTCCATGAAGACCCTGAACCACAGGGTTTGGGAACTCCCTTCCCGGTTGGTGAACACATGGTGTGCTGGGGAAGGGGGGTTACCTGGAGACGCCACGGCCACTCCACACGCCTTCCTCCCAGCCCCAACCATGTGCATCTTCTTTTATAACAAACCAGCCAGTCAGTTCTATGAACTTTTTGGCAAACTGTGGAACATGAGGAAGAGATCTGGGAACCCCTGGTTGATAGCCAGTAGGCCAGAAGTACTGGGGGGCCCTGGACATGTGATGGACGCCTGAAGTGGGGCAGCCTAGTTGGACTGAGCTCGTAACCCACAGGTGGGACGCCAGCTCTGAGCGGTTAGTGTCGGAACAGGATGGGCTCCTCGGAGGCCCTGTTGGTGGCTGGGAGGTGGAAGGTTGGACGGACGTGGTGGGGAAAAACCTGCACAGTGGGTGTCGGATGTGAGTAGAAACAGGTCACAGTGCTGACACATAGTAGTGTCTATTACTGGATCACCACGCTCCTAAGAACTTGCATGCTTTTAAAATCAAACAATATTCTCCAAACAGGGTGAGTGCAGAGTCCCACAGTGAGGGATCAAGTGGCCCCCTTCAGGTTCCCCCCCACCATGTTAGAGCTGAGAAAATAACTCTGGCAACTACTCCAGCCAGTGTTCCCACTGAGAAGCGAGTTGGCTCGGGCCCACCGCGTGCTGCATAGGACGCCGCACCATTAGATGATATGCAACAAAGCGGGTCAGGTTCTTACAGCCTTGTCTGAAGGATTAGTCATGCGGTCGCAGACCAGCGATTTCCCAGTCCACAAGTAATACCAGTGGAAGCTGGGGAAGCCGCTGAAGCACTCATCACTAGCGAACACAAAGGACACGGGTTACTAAAGCCACGTTTTCTGGCGTACTTGCTTTGCACTTGATTGTATACGATGATCTGCGTCTGCCAAGTTGAGTGCACGGGCATACACAAGGCATGGACACAGCGATGAGGCACCTTGCATGGATACAGGTTTGTGTAACTGCAGTGGATACGGCTGAAAATCCTACACCTTATGTGTAAAGTAAGATGTCATGAGAAGGACAAAAAGCATCTGCCCGAAGAACAGGGTATCTGAGTGCAATGAGGAGCCGGCCATTGGCTTCTGGGTACACAGTGGCTCTGCCTGCCACTCTATGAAATGGAACGAATCTCGATTTTGAACAGTAGTTGTAGGATTAGAGATGTTTAAGTAAACTGGCAAAGAGTAGGTCCTCACTGTTACTGTCCTGAGAACTCTGCAATTGTTCTAGAACTGGTGGGAGCTCCATCTGGGGACAGTGAGGAACATCAGCTCTGCTTTGGACTATTAGTTCAAAAGGTGCTTGGTGTATAATAGGCACTCACTAAAACTGTTGACTGAATGAATGAAGAAGTGCAGCATGTTCATTCTCTTTAAGTAGAGCTAATAAGAGAACATAAAAGTCGACATCTGGCCTTGTGGAGAGGAAAGGGCTACTTAACTCATCAACCCAAGTTAGCAGGAAGAACACAGGAAACGTATAGAAACGATAGAAATGTGGCTCAACATCATGTAACTAGCAAGGAAATAAACTTCATCGTGGTGGCTGTATGATCTGAAACTGGAAAATATTCTTACAGGCTACTTTCTGGTGTTACTGACTTCATAGCTGCATTTTAGCAGTTATTGAACTGAGAACTGTCCAAAAGGATTTTGGTCTCCAAGATTCCCTGATTATTTTTTTTCAAGTTTATACAATTACATTTTCCTTAACAATGTGCCATGGCTTGAACATGGTTCTCAGAGTTCATTAATCCCAGGGGTGGGGCCTAGTAAGTGGCAATTAATGAATGCATTAATTTCTTTACTGTGGGACTGGATTAGTTATTTTGAGAGTTGGTTGTTATAAAAGTGAGGTCAGGGGGCCATTGCGGCATAGCAGGTGCCAGTATCCGCCTGTGACGCCAGACACCTGTTGGTGTCCTGGCTGCTCCACTTCTGATCCAGCTCTCTGCTAACGGCCTGGGAAAAGCAGAAGAAGATGGCCCAAGTGTTTGGGTCCCTGCCACCCACATGGGTGATCTGGATGGAGCTCCTGGCTCCTCGCTTTGTCCTAGCCCAGCCCTGATCATTGGTGCCATCTGGGGAGTGAACCAGCAAATGAAAGATACCTCTCTCTCTCTAACTCTTTCAAATAGAAAAACCTTTAAAAAACAAACAAAACAAAAGGCAAAGAGGTCAGGGAGACCAGCATTGTGGTACGGCGGATTACGCTACCACTTACGATGCTGGTACCCATATCAGAGCACCAGTTTGAGCCCTGGTTGCTCTGCTTCCAATCCAGCTCCCTGCTAATGCACCCAGAAATGCAACAGAAGAGGGCGCAAGTGCTTGGGCCCCTGCCACCTATGTGAGAGACCTGGATGCAGTTCTAGGATCCTGGCTTCCACCTGGCCTAGCCTCAGCCATTGTGGCCATTTGGGGAGTAAATCAGTGGATGAAAGATCTCTCTTTATCTCTCTCCATCACTCTGCCTGTGAAATAAATCTTAAAAAAAAAAAAAAAAAGCGAGGTCAGACTCCTCTTGCTCTCTCTTGTCCTCTTCTGCCCTCCTGCTGTCCACTGTAGGGTGACACTTCGAGAAGACTCTCACTAGATGCCAATGTCATACCCTCGGACTTCCCAGCGAAATAAACTGCCATTCATTATATAAATTACATTTCTTTCTTTCTTCTTCTTCTTTTTTTTTTTTTTTTTTTTTGACAGGCAGAGTGGACAGTGAGAGACAGAGACAGAGAGATCTTCCTTTTTCCATTGGTTCACCCCCCAATAGCTGCTGCAGCCGGCTCACCACGCTGATCCGAAGCCAGGAGCCAGGTACTTTTCCTGGTCTCCCATGCGGTGCAGGGCCCAAGGACCTGGGCCATCCTCCACTGCACTCCCGGGCCACAGCAGAGAGTTGGCCTGGAAGAGGGGCAACCAGGACAGAATCTGGCGCCCCGACCGAGACTAGAACCCGGTGTGCCGGCGCCGCAGGCGGAGGATTAGCCTAGTGAGCCCCGGCACCGGCCTAAATTACATTTTAATAAGCATCTCAGGTACTCTGTTGTAGCAACACGGTATGTTAGTGGTATAGGATAAGCAGCTCATGTGAATGAGATTAACCTCTGTTTTCATAAAGCAAATGGGGACCCATGCTACGTGGCAACAAAACATTTATGTTGTACCTTTCAGAGAAACAGAGGCTTGATAAGTGGTAGCTGCTATTACGCGTGCCCTGGCCCTCTTTACCACTTACTTTCTCTAAGCTCTATTTCTGATAGAGCCCAGCGTTTCCCAAAATAAACCACACTACGTCTATGAAATGCGAATAAGCAGGAAATAGAAAAAGTGGTTCTGAGATCCAGTAAAATTAGAAACCCTGGAAGGAACGGCCGCTCACCCGTCACGGGCTGTCCGACAGGAGCGTCTCGACCCCGAGTTCAGCACGGGCCGCCCTCCCCGGCAAGCCTCTAGGCTTTCTTCCCGCCAAATATTCAGGAACGCTGTGTTAGGGGCCACAGTGCTTCTGCCTTTCCCTCCTCGTTGTGCCCTTGCGTGGTTGCTGCTCCAACTCCTCCCAGCACAGCCTGTCTTCAAGGGACCAATACTCCCAGGAGCATGCCTGGAAAAGCCCTAATTTCGTTGTTCTCCTCTGCCTCACCCACACTCTGTTGTTTTCATTTGAAAAGCAGAGAGACAGAGATCTTCCATCCTCTGGCTCACTCCCAAAATGCTCACCACAGTGGCGTTTGGGGCTGGGTCAGGCAGAAGCCAAGAGCCTGGAACTCAATCCAGGTTTCCACGTGGGTGAAAGGGACCCAAGTAACTGAGCTGTCACTCTCTGCTCCCCTGGGGTGCAGCATTAGCAGCAAACTGGAATAGAGCACAGAGCAAGGACTGGAACCCAGGGCTCCTGATCTGGGATGGGGATGTCCAGACTGCTGCCAAACGCCTGGCCCTCGGTCTTCTTTACATGGTGGACTCCTACTTACCCTTCAAAACCTAGCCACACTGGCCCCTCAGGGAAGTCTTCTGAACCTCACCAGGCAGAAGTAGTTGCCGCCTCCTTGTTCCTCCAGGAATTTACTCGAAATCTGTTTCCATACTGATTTTTCAAAACATCCTTCGTTAGAAGTAAACAGGACTCCCTAGCTCTGCACAGAGCCCAGCAGACCATGGGTGAATGAATGAATGATTGCAGGAAACTGATTTTCGGCTGGAGTCACTTGGTTCCTATTTTCCAGGTCAGTGAGACTGAAAATTCCCTTTAGATAGGGTTTCTGACTCACTTCCGTGTTCTCCAAAGTCACGCCAGAGCACCCAGCGGCCAACGAAAAAGCGCCCTAAGGAGTGACCATAATCAGGGACCCCCGCCCGCAGTTCAGGGAGCAGCTCAGAGCCTCGGGGACCTCCAGGGGCCGCGGCAGGGGCACAGCGTTGGGGAGCCGGGCGCCACCTGCCACACATGACTCCCGCTTCCTGCTCCGGCCAGAACGGCGTTGCCATGGAGACGACCCTGCCCCTCAGCCCGCCGGCCCTCACGGCCTCTCAGGAGGGCAGCGGTGCATGGCGACTCTTCGGCCCCTCGCCCACCTCCTCATCTACGTACTCGCCTATTCCTGCGTTTACTCGTGTTTGTACTTGTTCATTTATCTTATCAGCATCCTTGTAGAGGACTGGGCAAGGTGAGACCCGGGACGGCTGGCCTTTGGCCTAGGAGGGCTTGAGGGGCCGAGTCTCTGCCTTTTTCTGGAAGGATCCCAAGGTAAGAGCAGCGGCCACGGCAAGAGGCGGGCAGGGCAAGGCCGAGTCCACACACTGTGGCGCAGGCTGGCGGGCTCCGGGGGGCGCGCGGCCACGGGGGCAGGCCCGGCTCTGGGGAGCTGGCCGGGCCAGGCCGTGGGCGGGAGGAGTGTGGTGCGGCCAAAGGCGGCCAGCGAGGAGCTCTTGGGGATCTGGGGGGCGCACTTCGACACCGGCACCCCGCTGGGAGAGGGGGCCATGCGCTTCCTCTGCGGCTGCCTCGGTACTGTCCGCCTGCTCCCAGTGCCTGGTGGAGACTGTCCAGGTCCAGTGCGCGTGCGCAGGCCGCAAGCCCACTGCCCCCAGGCCGAGTGGCTGGCCGACACCCTGGTGAGCACTGCATAGACTAGCTGTGTCCCGCCCGCTCGGTGCTGCCGCTCGCTCGCTCGGAACAAGAAGCAGCGGGCCTGGGGCGTCCTGCAGGGGCTAGGAGGGCGTGCGGCGCTGTAGTAGACCCGCTGGGGATTCTACAGACTTCACGGAGGACAGCCACTCGAACGATAGCCTCTGTCCAGCCACCTGCCACCTGCCGCGTCCCGGAGACCTCAACTCCCTGAAGAAACAGGAGTAGGCAAGGACTTGTGACCCGTGGCCCCGGGCACTGCAAGCCAGCAGTGCTGGTGTGTGTAAAATGTCACCACCTTTGGGACTAGTGGCTGCCTGTGCTTCCCAAGTTCTCTGAAGATTCATTTATTTATTTATCTATCAAGGCAGAGCGCACTTGCGCGCGAGAGGGCGTCCATCTGCTGGTTCACTTTCCAAATGGCCTCAACAGCCAGGGCTGGGCCAGGCCAAAGCCAGGAGCCAGGAACTCCATCTGAGTCGCTCATGCGGGTAGCAGGAGCCCAAGCACTTGGCTGTCCCCTACTGCCCTCCCAGGCGCATTATCAGGGGGCTGGATTGGAAGTGGAACAGCCAGGACTCCAAACTGTGGTCTGATACAGGGTGCTGGAGTCCCAAGGCAGCCTAATCCACTGCACTGCTGTGTGGGCCCCGATTCCTTCTTTAGGCAACCCAAGAGGGTTGCAAGCGTTTCCTTGGGGGTTGGAACCATTCTCTTTGGGGAATCAACATGGTCCGCTTTAACTCAGTCCGTTTTCAACAATAATAAGGAAAAATTCTTATCAGGAAGTCATGTTGGGTAATTTAGCATGTCTAAACTCCTCTGGTCTCCGTTTCAGTGGGAGTTGTCCCCACATAACTAGCAAAGAGCTTACAGATGAGGCTGTGAGGTCAGCTCAGCTGAATGGATTAGGGAGCAAAAAGAGATTCTGGCACACGGTGTTCAGCTCGGTAGACACCGAACACCTAAACAGATGAAGGGCTTGTCGAATATTTCCTGTTCGTGCCCATTACAGGTAAAAATTAGTAATAGTTCTGACTTGTACTACCAGGGAGCTTAGAATGAATTCACCATTTTCAGAGACGTGGGACGGCCCACCTGGTCTCATTTTGCCCTGTCCCCTCCGACCCTGCTGTTGCTGATTAGAACACCCTCTCTCCAGGAAGTGCTACAATTGGATCAATGTGGAAAGCCAAAATGAGATGAAGGCCAGGCTCAGGGAATAAATATGTAAAGAAAAGCCTCTGTTCTCTAAAGATTTCTTTTGTATAACTGGGCTTTCAACAGCCATACATCCAAAGACCATACCACCCTGACTTTAAAAAAAAAAAAAAAAAGCAGTGATTTTTTTGTTGAGTATTAAAGAATGGTGTGGGTGACTTCGGAAAAAAAAAAATCTTACTTTAATGTAACAAATGCCATTCAGTTAATTTTTGTAGATGTTTCGGTGATCTTGACAATGACTGAAGTTCATAAAATTTGCTGAAGTTAAAAGGTGCGTTTTCAGCCGGCGCCGCGGCTCGCTAGGCTAATCCTCCGCCTTGTGGCGCTGGCACACCGGGTTCTAGTTCTGGTCGGGGCACCAGATTCTGTCCTGGTTGCCCCTCTTCCAGGCCAGCTCTCTGCTGTGGCCCAGGAGTGCAGTAGAGGCTGGCCCAAGTGCTTGGGCCCTGCACCCCATGGGAGACCAGGATAAGTACCTGGCTCCTGGCTTCGGATCAGCGCGGTGCGCCGGCCGCAGCGCGCCAGCCGCGGCGGCCATTGGAGGGTGAACCAACAGCAAAGGAAGACCTTTCTCTCTGTCTCTCTCTCTCACTGTCCACTCTGCCTGTCAAAAAAAAAAAAAAAGTGCATTTTCATTCTCTCTGTAGCCTTCCCATCTCTGAGAGTATAAGATCATTGAAAGTCTGTCAGTTAAAGATGTTTGCAAAATGTGAATAAGAAATACACCTCCATGTGGTATTTTATGTAATTTAGCAACATGTCACATGACTGCCTTCCCTGGTATTCAACTAGACTACAAGCTCAGAGTGTTAGTTTTTGTTAATTTCATAATAGTAAACTGTTTAATAGCTCACAGAAGTTAGATCCAAGCGCTTGTCCTCCTGGAGAGAGAAGAATTCCAAGTGGAGTTGTGATATGGTGCCCAAGTGAGAGCGGGATTTATGTAAAAGTGAGAGGGTAGATGGACATTGACGCGTGAGTGTGGCCACCCCGCACTGAGCAATCCTCCTTGTCCTGGATGGACCAGAGGAGGGAGAGGCAGCCAGAGCAGACCGCGAGGCGTGCTCAGTGGCAGCAAGAGCTCTCCCCAGGTGCTCAGCCTCTTGTAGGAGTTAGGGGTGGGGTCTTAGCAGGCGTAAGCCTGCTGGGGTCTTTAGCACCTCCACGTGGAGTTGAATTTCCATGTGGTCACCACAGAGTCCCCTCCTTCCAGGCCCAGATAAGACACAGGTGCATCCTGGGAAGGTGGGCATTTTAGATTGACGGGTGAAGGAATAAAATTACATTCCAGCTCACTAAGACATAACTCCCTGCCTGGCTACCCTATCATAGTGTCTGGATGTAAGTATGTTTGGCCTGTCTTGATTGGGTAATAGAGAACTTGACAAGAAAACATCAGTGTTTGTGAATGAGATGGAATGAAATGTGTTTCTATTTGGTGCTCTTATTTCGCTTATTTGAGGGGAGGATCATTACCTGTTGTTAAGACGCTCTAACTTTCCTCAGGAGGTTAGCTTCTGAGTTTGTTGAAAAGCAAAGTTCTGGGGCTGGTGTTGTGGTTCAATAGGTTAAGGGGTTGCCTTTGCTGCTGGCATCCCAGATGAGCACTGGTTTGGATCCAGGCTGCTCCACCTCCAGTCTAGCTCCCTGCTAGTGTGCCTGGGAAAGCAGTATTTGGGCCCCTGCCACTCACATGGAGACCCGGATGGAGTTCCAGCTTCCTAGAATTTCCTGGCCCATGGCTGTTGCAGCCCATGTGGGGAGTGAACCAGCAGATGGAAGATCTCTCTTGGTCTCTCCTTCTGTCTGTGTAACTCTGCCTTTCAAATAGATAACTAAATTTTTTTTTTTAAAGAGAAACTTTCTCAGTGAAAGAGAGATAAATTTAATAGGACATAGGTGTGCAGATTCATTTGCGCAAAAATTTTATTTATTTATTTATTTATTTGACAGATAGACAGTGAGAGGGAGAGACAGAGAGAAAAGGTCTTCCTTCCGTTGGTTCACTCCCCAAATGGCTGCTACCGTCGAAGCTACACCGATCCGAAGCCAGGAGCCAGGTGCTTCCTCCTGGTCTCCCATGCGGGTGCAGGGCCCAAGCACTTGGGCCATCCTCCACTGCACTCCTGGGCCACAGCAGAGAGCTGGACTGGAAGAGGAGCAACCAGGACTAGAACCCAACGCCCATATGGGATGCCAGCACCGCAGGCGGAGGATTTACCAAGTGAGCCACGGCGCCGGCCCCTGTGCAAAAATTTTAACATAAAGATATTCCCATCTAGTACTGTTTTGTAAATGATTGTAGCGAGTTTCTTTCATCACTAGCTGATTAAATGAAGTACTTTCTATCAGTGATTTAGGAAATTGCTGCAAAACCTTGGCTTTCAAGATAGTAAGAGCTCATTTGCTCTGGCCTGTGGTATTTCATGATTGTGCTGTTGATAACACCAGAGAATTTTTGCGTTATACACAGCGTCTGTTTAGAGAAGTATCATCTATGGAGAACCATATGGCGTGGATTCTGGCTGCCACGAGTGTGGTGATGAAGATGGGTTTCCTTAATTTGAGTCAGCGGTTTCCATGTTCAGGCCCTGTGTTTCTGTTCACGTTTTTATTGGTGGCTTACAAATGTCTGAAAATACAGCCCGACAGTCGCTGCCGATAAAGAATGAAGGATGATTTAAATCAAGACAACATGAGTTCAGAACACTGCGGACTTCTAGTCCCTGTTCCTCTGGGACAATCCAGCCCCTGTCCCCTGCTGTACCTATGTGGAGACTGGAAATGAAGGACTGCAGAGCTGTAGACAGAGAGGAAAGAGCAGAGGCAGGACCGCCTCCGCCCTCCCTCGGTTTGCCCGAAAGCAGAGGGACCCTGTCCCCTCCCCTCCTACCAGAGAAATCAGGTTACCCCCCAGTGACAACGACTGGCCTGAGCTGGTACCAGAGGACTCTAAGGCAGCTTTTAAACACAAGCCCTTACCCACCCTTTACATGCCTTCCCCCAGCTCCAGGTGCTGTGGCACAGTGGGTTAAAGCTATGGCCTACAATGCTGGCATCCCGTATTGGCACCAGTTCGAGTCTCAGCTCTTCCATTCCAGTAGCTAATGTGCTTGGGAAAGCAGTAGAGGATGTCCCGAGTCCTGGGGGCCCAGACCAGGGAGAAGTTCATGGCTGCTGACTTTCAGCCGGGCCCAGGAGTGAATTAGCAGATGGAAGATCTCTCTCTCTCTCTCGCTCTCTCTCTCTCTCTCTGTCTTTCTTTTCTTTTCTTTTCTTTTTAAAATGTTTATTTTATTTATTTGAAAGGCAGAGTTACAGAGAGAGGTAGAGAAAGAGAGACAGAGAAAAAGAGGTCTTCCATCTGCCGGTTCCTTCCCCAAATGGCCACAATGGCCAGAGCTGGGCCAATCCGATGCCAGGAGCCAGGAGCTTCTTCCAGGTGCAGGGGCCCAAGGACTTGGGCCATCTTCTGTTTTCCCAGGCCATAAGCAGAGAGCTGGATCTGAAGATGAACTGGCACCTATACGGCATGCCGGCGCCACAGGTGGAGGCCTAACCTACTACACCACAGCACCTGCCCCAACAAACATCTTTTAATTCCATATTCCACAAAATTCTTGACGCACCCTCAGATGGGGATATTCTGCATCTGTAATTAGCTCTCTCTCTATGTGTGAAATCGTGCATATCTATTAGAATTCTCAAAGCCAAAGTATACATCTGGTAGTTAGGCATTTTATGTTCATTTTCTTCTATCTCATCAGTTCTTGAAGTAGTCCATTTTATATGCAGCTTGTCAGAGTGTTGGCTAATAAGTGAAGCATGTCGAATCAAAGTCCACATTTTCCTCATGACTCTAGTTCAGCACCTCGTTATATGACTATCCTTTCTGTAAGTTGTTTTTTGTGTACCTCAAAATTATTTCTAACCAATTTTCTGTTTGTTCTACAAAATGTTCCTAGTTTTTCACCAATGGAAAGTTTGTAATGTGTTGCAACTGTGGGAAACCGATGGCATAACTGCTCAGCCGTAATCAAACTGCAAAATACCTAATCTGTAAGTCTTTGTCCACACCAGGTGGACGCCAGTGTCCTAACTTGAAGGCGCTGATCATAAACAGGGAACTCTGGGTTTGCCATTTCAACAAGAGGCTTTATCTGTCACATTTCCTATTTTTCCCCTCTAATCTTTAGTTCCCACAGCTAAGGAAGCTGATTTTAGGCTGTTTATCTTTCCCCCCAGGTGGTGATTAAAGCAGCTTTCTCAAGTATATGACATTAATTTCACGTTAGAGCTGTAATCTCTTGCATTGATCTGTCCTTTCAGCAGTGAATAAAGGGAGGAGGTAAAAGCTCAAAAACAAAGGCCAGTGCCACGTGATAAAGACTGGAAAGAACTGGGCTGTTAATGTTAGCAGCATTGTTCCTTGCTGCACAAAGTGCATTTAGAAAGTGTTTCTTTTGAGCCTTTCAAAGGCAAGGAAAATCTCAGAAGTCAGAGATCACATTTTGATAGGCAGTCCTTCAGTTACAGGATGCTTGTTTTCGGCGGTCTTAAAGATCAATTATTTTCTGTTAAAGATTTATTTATTTACTTGAAATGCAGGGGGGGGGGGGGCTTTTCCATCTGCTGGTTGACTCCCCAAATGGCTGCAACAGCTTACGCTGGGGCCAGGAACTCTATCCGGGTCTCCCATGTGAGTGGCAGGGGCCCAACTACTTGAGCCATCTTCCGCTGCTTTCCCAGAGGCCTTAGCAGGGAGTTAGACTGGAGGTGGAGCAGCCAGGACCTAAACTGGTACTCATGTGGGATGCTGGTGTCTCAGGTGGCAGCTTAACCCTCTGTAGCACAGTGCCAGCACAAAGATCAATTATTTTTTAAACCATGAGCAAAGAGCTGTTTGAAAGGAAATTTAAATTTCAACATCACTTCTATCACAATATCACCTATGATAATATGAGGAGTTAGGTTAATAGGCAGTTATGTCAGGCTCCTGTGGGAATGCGAAAAGGGGCAGAATCCCTTTTAGAGTGGATGAAGTGCTTGCTTCTTCCCAAAGGCAGCCTTTATTAACACGTAGTTTTATTATGAAAATAGGCTAGGCAGGGTTGTCAATTCCAGCCCTCTAATTGATTATTAGTCCAGCCCTCTGATTGGTTGTTATTCCAGCCACCTGATTGGTTGTTATTCCAGCCCTCTAATTGGTGCTAGCCATTACTCTGCCCTTTCCTGATTGGCTAAATCTAGGTAGCCATTTTTGTGCCTAAAAAGAGAGGGTTCCCCCAAGCTTCCTGGGCAACCCCTCCCCTGGAGTCCTCCTCCTGACTACACAGCAGGAGGTTTTTCTCTTTCAGTATCTGTCTCTTTGTCTTCTGTCCCTATCTGCGCGGAAATTCTTCTTTGACATCAGAGACCACTGATCACTGTCCTGTAACAATATCATGTATAGTAATTAGATAATGTTATTAATCTTTTTGTCTTGAATTCCATTTGGGTGGGGGGGGGTCGGTGAGTAGGGAGAATATTGACAATGCAACTTTAACTAGATTTGTATGTATGTGTATGTGTGTGCCGTAGCACACTAGCACTTCAGTGACAGTTTTCAGAATTTTCACCACATTCTGCCTATTCTGCATGGGCCACAGTCTGTAACGCTACCGATCAACATGTACCTCCTGCCAAGATGGTGGTAGGCCCAAGTTTTGTGATGTGCATAATACTTGGACCCTGCTCCATGGAGTTTACTGTCTGGTAGAAGAAACAAAGTACATGTGTGCAGGGTGCTGCAAAGAAACCCAGAGTGTTGTAGGGTTGTAGACCTGAGTGATGTCTAAGGCGAGACCTGGAGGCTAAGGAGGGGTTAGACTGGCAGACGGGAGCCCCAGGGCAGCTGGAGGCGGCTGGAGCTTCTTCGGTCTGGGGTAAGGTCTGGCTGGAGCCCTCCCATGCTGAGAGGGCGAGGAGAGGTGAAGCCGTGAAGCAAAGGGGAGGGCCCCCGGGCTGAGTTCTCATCCATGGTGTGGAGTTTTTAGAGTGCTCTTAGAATTCTTCAGAATTCTCTGAAGGGCTCTAAGCGTGGAATGGCCTTCAGGTTGCTCTGCGGAGAGAAATGGAGTATGGGGGAGAGCTCCGTAAGAATGTTAACGTGACCCAGCTGAAAGAGAAGGGGAGCCGGGACCGGGTTGGTGACATTGGGGTGTTAAAGCGCCCTGAGATGTCAGTGGCAGAAACAGCCCTCCTGTCCATCAGGGGCTCGGTGTAGAAACCACTGTGGTAGGTGCTCACCCGTGCAGTGCGTTGTGCAACCACAGGAAGCAGTGGAGTACTGACGTGTGCCACAGCTGGAATGAACCTCAAAATCGCTCTTCTGCAGGCCGGCCTTGCGGCACGGTGAGCTAAGCTGCCGCATACCTGTGAGCGCTGGTTCAAGTCCCGCTGCTCTGCTTCTGAGCCAGCTCTCTGGTAACGTACCTGGGAAAGCAGCAGAAGGTGGCTCAAGTACCTGGAGGGAGCTCCTGGCTCCTGGCGTTGGCCTGGTCAGCCCCAGCCACTGCAGCCATCTTGGGGAGCGAACCAGCAGATAGTAGATCTCTCTCTGTCTGTCACCCTCTCTCTGTAGCTCTTTCAAATAAATAAATAAATCTTTTAAAAAATCATGAGGTAGTTTATTCAGAGTAGGTCAAAAGTAGGAACAACCCAAATGTAAATCAATTAATGAAGGGGTAAAAATGTCATCTGTGCATATAATGGAATATTTTTTTGCCATAAAAGGAAATTACTATTTGCCATTAAAGGAAATAAAATACATGCTACAGCATGGATAAACCTTGAAATCAGTATGCCAAGTGAAAGAAACCAGACTCACAAAGCCATATATTTTCTGATTGCATTTATGTGAAATATTCAGACTAAGCAAACTCACGGGAACAGAAAGGACGCTGGTGCCAGGGGCTGAAGTGGTGGGTGGGGTAGAAGGGAGGGACGGGGAGTGACTACTAATGGGACCGGGTTTCTTCTAGGGTGATGAAAGTCTTCTGGAACTTGCACTAAAAGTCGCTCGACTGTACACTTCGCAGGAGTGAAGGTCTGGTTTGTGAACGAGCTCTCAGTGAGGCTGCCGCGCGGTACCACGGGACTCTGAAATGCACGTCTAGGATCTCCTTCTTCCTTAAGGTACAGCCCCTCCCTTTGTCTTCCTCAAGCAAGCTAAGACCACGGCTGCAAGAGTAGACTGCTGCCTGTGACACGGTCGCAGTAAATGCCTTACTAACGAGCAGGAACAGCACCCCTTGTAGTACAGGTGGAAGCTGCCTCTGAGGAGCGGCTGATTTCCCAGTCCCTAGTGAAGCAGACATCGGAAATGGAGAGTCACTCCCCTGCCGGAGAAGCTGGGCTCGCACCAGCTTTGCCCCTTACTCTAAAGGAGGAAAGAGGAGCAGATGGATTTTGAGAAGAGCAGGTGTGTTAGAACATACCAGAAAATCGCAGTCAGCCACACTGTTCCGGAAGTTGTGGTTTTATTTAACTAACTGCAAGGTAACCAGAAATACTCTGTTTTCCATTCTAGCCGAGTGTTTGTCTGCTTGCTTCTTTCTTGTGATAGCTGTACTGAGTGTTACCACTAATCCAGGGGTTTGCAAAGGCTCAGGGCCACCAGTTAGAAAAGTCAGTGCTTGTTGCACTATACCACAGCTAAAGAAGGTGTAGGGCTTTGGGTGGACGTGCACTGGCCCTAGACATGGTGGACATGGGTGTTGAGTATGTGCACGTGCTAGTTTGTTATTTTGTTATTTGCCCCTTTGCTAAAACACGGAGTGAAGGAAAAAAAGTCTGCTTTGCTTTAAGATTATTTACTGGGGGGGGAGGGGAGCCAGCATTGTGACGTAGTGGGTAAAGTCATCCCCTGCTCCCAGCAGTGCTGCCATCCCATATGGGCGTCAGTTCATGTCCTGGCTGCTCCACTTCCGATCCATGAACCAGTGCTAATGTGCTGCGGAAAGCAGTGGAGGATGGTCTGAGTGCTTGGGTCCCTACCACCTACGTGGGAGACCTGGATGGAGTTCCTGGCTCCTGGGTTCGGCCTGGCCCAGCCCCAGCGGTAGTGACCATTTGGGGAGCGAACCAGTGGATGGAAGACATCTCTCGGACTCTCTCTGTCTCTATCTGTCTCTCTCTCTCCCTCCCTCCCTTCCCAACTCTCGCTATAATTCTGCCTCCCAAATAAAATTAATCTAAAAATAAAGATTATCTACTGAGTATCTGCTACCCGGTCTAACCTCTCTTATGCTGGGTACCTTTGTATGACATCTTTCTGTGTTCTTGCTCTGTGGTTTGTATTGCAAAAACCATGATGTCACATGTAGACTGCTGTAGCCCTGTGAGTCACTGCAGTGATCCACGAGATGGCATTCCTAAATGATGTTCTCACACAGCAGTACGTCTTGCTCTCCTGCCAGAAGGAAGGAAACACATTTTTAGATTGGGTATTCCAGAAAGAGGGTCTGTAGGTTGAAAGAACTCTGGCCATTTGGAAGCTGGTAATTCACATGCACGTAATTGCTGGCTTCAGACCTGAATGGAAGCTGCTGACAGGGCGATTGTGCGCGTGTGAGAGGGCGGATGGAAACCTGGCGAGGAACCACAGCCTTTCAGCTCCGGTGCTGCTCCCGTTCTGGCTGCGGTTACATCTCAGTTCCAGACGGAGGGGTCGTCTCTGCTGTCAGTGTCTTACAAGCCAGTGTCGCCCCTCCCCCTTTACTAAGTTCTTAAGGCCTTTTTGTTGTGCTGGATCAGGTCCACTCATCTTATTTATCTGTGTTTTGAAACTTTTGTTGTTTAAAATCCTTACCTATGTCTGATAAATGCTGTTACTGATATTTATAGCAGCCATTTACGGTACCATAGGCATTTTACTATGTATTTTACATACAAGATATCATTTATTACAACCATCACAAGAGGCTAGTATTTGTCTAGTTTTTAGTGGCTTTTGTTTTTGTTTTGTTTTGTTTTGTTTTTGACAGCAAGCAACACAAAACCCAATGTCCACAGGCTAAACCATAAGCACTTTTGAATATCAGAGTTAGAGGGAAAAGAGAGAGAGAGAGAGAGAGAGAGAGAGAGAGAGAGAGAGATTCCATCTTGTGGTTCACTCCTCAAATGGCCGTAATGGCCAGGGCTGGGCCAGGCCAAAGCCAGGAGCCTGGAACTCTATCCTGGTCTCCCAAGTAAGAGACAGGAGCTCATGCACTTGGGCCATCTTCTGCTACTTTCCCTGGCACATTAGCAGGGAGCTGGATCAGAAGTGCAGCAGCTGGGACTCGAACCGGTGCTCATATGGGATGCCACCATTGCATGCAGCAGCTTAACTCGCTGTGCCACACACCAGCTCCAGGACATTTCTTGTTCTGGATGAACAAGGGTTGGTTCAGTAGATCAAGTTGTCCCAGAGGACCCGGGCTCTGCCATCATTGTTATGTCACTGAGGCTGCCCTTCATGTTCACACAGTGACTGTCAGCATATTGTGGGATGATGGAGGCAATCTCAGTTTTATCTCCTGCTGAAGAAGAGTTTCCACGTGGAAAGTGAGAAACCTCCTGCCACAGCAGTCAGGAGGGCAACTCCAAAGAAGCCTGCCAGTGCCAGCTCTTTTATACACAAAGTGGCTCTCTCTGGCCCCTTCCTGACAGTTAGATTCAGATGTTAACCAATCAGGGGAGGAGTAGAATAACAAACAGGAGACTGGAATAACAACCAATCAGAAGGCAAGGATAACAACCAGTGAGAGTCCTGAGCCTGGATCAATGCGCAGCTATTTTAGACTAGGCCTCCATCTTGTAACTCGGGCCTGAGCGGGCCCTGAACCCTAAGCCAAAAGCTCCTAAAAAAGAAAATAAAACTCCACTTATGATAAACTCTGCTAGCAACAGCCAATTAACAGAAAGCAGGGAAATACGCAAAGTTCCAGGTGTCTTTTCAGACAGTTAAGGTGATTGATAACATCCCCAAACCCTGCAGTTTGGCACATACACCCTAGCAGCTCGGACCCTAAACTTTAGCCAATCATAAAACAACAAGTATAAATTTAAAATATAAGCCTATCAGATGCCGTACAGCCGAACTTGTTTGTTCAACTGTATAAAAACCCTAACAACCTTACTGTAGGGGCCGCCGATCCAGCCCAGCTGTGCGTGGTGCGGACGTCGGTCCAAACTCGAGTTTGAAATAAAACTCTTACGCCTGCATCAGCCTCGGCTCCTGGTGGTCTTTATTGGTGGGAATCGTACACTTCAGGTACAACACCAGAGAATTGAAAGTGTATGCTAATGAGGCATGCTATGTGATCCAATCAGGGTTAGTTTATTGGAATAACCTGTTGAGTCTGAGATCAAAAGTTACTGTGCTTCTGATCTCAGACTTAACAACATCTGGAGATTATGTTGTATAAGTACCCCTCACCCCACGTCACCCCCACCTCCACTCCTGGCTCTCCCTCCCTCTTGTTTCCCATTCCCTCAGGGCCCCTGGAGAGTTACATCATGTGTCTTTTCTTTGCTATGTTTTTCTTTCCTATCTGGGAACCCTTGGAATCCCTGCGAACAACACCAGACAGCATCCATGGGAGGCAGGGGGCAATGGCAAAGGGACTTTCTCATCACACGTCTCTCTTAGCAGAGAGGAGAATCTTTTCTAGGAGCTTCCAGCAGTCTCCCCAGCACACTACCTGGGCAGAATTGGGTCACATGCCTTCTTGCAGACCCAGCAGGGCAATCACCTACAGGAGTGGGGAACTTGGATCAATGCAGCTCATCTGTTGGGATCAGGCACCCTGTGACCTAATGGGGTTTTGTGAGTGCTGTTGCTGTTGACCAGGAAGAAGAGGGAAATGACTGTGGACAGGCAACCAGGGACTACCTTCCCTTATTTCCCCTGTGTTACAGATGAGGAACTGGAGGCTCGGAGACATTAAGGGAGGTCAAACTGTATCGACAGAACCAGGATAAACCAGATCTGCCTGCCTCCAGAGCAATTTTCTGTCATGTTTCTTGCTTTCTGGCCTGGAACCTGCTATGAAGCAGAACTACTATAGATCATATCAACAGGGATTTATTACTCAGAGTGTCAGAAAGACTGTTCTCTAACAGTGACTAGTACATAATGAGAGCTCAAAGCCAGGAGTCTCTGGACAATGACAGATCCATGGATAGTGGGATGATTAAATATGTTTTTGCTATCATGCTCTGGAAAGGGAAAACCAGGTGAGAAAAAGGCACACAAAGAAGCATCTTAAAGCAAATGTTTATAACTTTTTTTTTTTTTGCAGGCATCCAGAGTCTTTTAATTCTGCCTTTTTTCCCTGTTCACTTTCCAGAAATAGCTGATTTCTTTCAAATGCTGTGCACTGGGCCATCAGATGAACTCATTTCAGAACCATTGCCTTTTTTTTTTTTTGGTCCCTTAAGAAAAGCATCAAGCATCTGATTTGCTGCTGATAAATTCTCTGTAAGTAGCACCGTAATTAAGGACACGTAAGCCAGTCTGTGTTTCCGAGAATACGGCTGGGCACATGCGCACCGTGTGGGAGGGGCCCATTGCATCCCAACCACCTCGTGTGGGCTTTGTGCAGTGACCACCCCCGCCCCTGGCTCTCTCCAGTACGCTCTCAGTTGCAGGCCACTGTCCATTCACCCCGTGTCCTTCACTGAGCCTGAGGCTCTGTCTGTCCTGTTCTAGGTGCTGGTCAGAAAAAATAAATGGCTCTCCCGCTGTGACTCCCCACCACCTGAGTCAGCCCTGGGGAGGGGAGGCAGAGTAGGCTGGTAAAACTGGGGACCGAAGAGGCACATAGGGGCAGGTCAGGCTGAGCGTCCAGACCTGCCTCACTGCTCTCCTCCTGGAGTGCATGGATTTAGCGTTTCCTCGCCATGCCTCAGTTTCCTCATATGTAAAGTGGGGTGCCACAACATCTCCCTTGAAGCCTGATTGTGCACTAAGCCATAATTTATGTAAAACACATGGCATATCATAAAGGCTCAATATATTATGACACTTACTGCTATCAGCCCATTAGGAAGAAGTTGGCGGGCAAGGTTAGCATGGGAAGATTCAGCTTGTGTTATTGTTCCTGCGGTTGTCAGATACATATAGGATGTAGTTACTTTAAAAATTTTTAATGCCTCATGAAGTCGCTCCCCCTCTGTGGGCAACTCAGCATGGAGGAAAGTGGAAAGCAAGCAGCCCGGGGTGTTGTAAGCCTAGAAGCCGGCAGTGAGGACCCTGTCTCCCTCTGGCATCTATGCAGATGGTTTATTTTACAAATGTGTTTTTGGTATGGAAATCACTCTATGCAGACTTCTGTGTGCAAAATACAGCGTAAGAAAAATGGCCTTCTTGCCAAGGAAGATGGGTGCTGTTGGCTATTATCAAATGAAGTAGCAGCAAATTTAGATTTCTTTCCCTCCTGCTCTTTCTAACAATGTGCTGGGCGAGCGGATTTTTGGCACGTTGAACTGAGCTCTTTTGGCTTTCAATTGTGTGTTCTTGTGATGAAAGTGCTTATTGAAGCCTGTGGCTACTTTTGGAAGCCATGCTGACGTGTGTGGTGTTTAATTTAGCGTTTCACATCAGCACACCACCTCAAGTTAATAAAAGTGCTTATTTGAAAACCGCAGATGGCCTCACGTCTCGGGCTAGGCTGCCGGCCTGCACATACTTCCCACTCTCCTGGAAAGACTTGTGCTGACTAAGAGCCTTCATTTTCTGTTTTGGAGAGCCTTTTGTGTACGTCTTACCACGTGAACAGAATACGTGGACTACTGAAAGCCTGCTTCTCCCCTGGTGGGCCTGGGAAGAGAGCGCCCACTGCACAGGGCAGTGCTGTGCCAGCCGGGCCTGGTGTTCCTTCCCAGCTTCAATGCCTCTCCCCACTGCTCCTCACGTGACCTGAGATGGGGAGGTGAGGCAAAGGCAGCTCTTGGCACAGGCCTCTCCTCTTCCCGGCCTGGGGCTTTGTTTTCCTCTGACAAGCCCAGGAAACTACAACTCTCATCCATGGCCCTGCATTCCCCCTCTCCCTCCTCCTCCTCCCCCTCCTCCTCCTTCTTCCACTCTCTCTCTCTCTCTCTCTCTCTCTCGATTTATTTATTGGGGCTGGCACTGTGGTGTAGCGGGTAAAGCCACCACCTGCAGGGCCGGCATCCCATATGAGCGCCAGTTTGGGTCTTGCCTGCTCCGCGTCTGATCCAGCATTTTGCTGTGGCCTGGGAAAGCAGCAGCAGAAAGCCCAAGTGCTTGGATCCCTGCATCCGCGTGGGACACCTGGAGGAAGCTCCTGGCTCCTAGCTGCGTTCGGATTGGTGCAAGCTCTGGCTGTTACAGCCATCTGGGGGATGCACCAGCAGATGGAAGACCTCTCTCTCTCTCTACCTCTGCCTCTCTGTAGCTCTCCCTTTCAAACACATAAATTAATCTTTAAAAAACATTTATTTTTTTTTTTTTTTTTTTTTATTTTTTGACAGGCAGAGTGGACAGTGAGAGAGAGAGACAGACAGAAAGGTCTTCCTTTGCCGTTGGTTCACCCTCCAATGGCCGCCGCGGCCGGCGCGCTGCGGCCGGCGCACCGCGCTGATCCGATGGCAGGAGCCAGGAGCCAGGTGCTTTTCCTGGTCTCCCATGGGGTGCAGGGCCCAAGCACCTGGGCCATCCTCCACTGCACTCCCTGACCACAGCAGAGGGCTGGCCTGGAAGAGGGGCAACCGGGACAGAATCCGGCGCCCCGACCGGGACTAGAACCCGGTGTGCCGGCGCCGCTAGGCGGAGGATTAGCCTATTGAGCCGCGGCGCCGGCCCTAAAAAACATTTATTTATTTATTTATTTGGAGAACAAAGATTTAGAGAGAGAGAGACAGAGATCTTCTGTCTGCTAGTTGATCCCTCAAATGGCTGCAATGGCCAGGGCTGGACCAGGCCAGAGCCAGGAACCAGGAGTTCTTCCAGGTCTCTCACGTGGGTGCAGGGGCCCAAGCACTTGGGCCATCTGCTGCTGCTTCCCCAGGTGCATTAGCAGGGAGCTGGATGCCAGGCTGCAGGCAGACGCTTAAGCTGCTATGCCACGATGCCAGCCCCTCCTCTTCTCTTTTGTCTTTCCTTTCTATTCCACCAAAACACTTTTTTTTTTTTTTTTGCCTCATCTTGAGTGTCTCAGGCTTCCTAAAGGAAATAGTCATTAATTTGGCAAAAGCAAAGTTCATTTTGAAGACATTTTTCAGAACCAAATCCACTGAGGGAAATCGACAAGCACAGCTTACCCTTACTGGACGTCACCTGTGCCCACGGAACACAAAGGACAGCGCCGCCTTTCCTCACTCCTTCTGTGTGTTCAGGCATGCACATTCACACCTGCACGCGTGCCTTTTTTCACTTGGACATCCTGCTACCCGCATGCCAGGCACTCAGGAACTCAAGAGTGAAAATAGTCCCAACCACGGAGGCGCCCAATGTGGGCGAGGCAGCCGTGTACAGGAAGTAAACTGGCACTGGGGCCTCAACGGCGGTCACCCCAGGGCATCAGCCTAGGGCATGCAAAGGCAGCATGGCCGGCTCCCGCACACTGTGGTCAAGCCAGCCTACTGGGGGCATTGCATCCCCGCAGGCCCTGGAAGCCAGAGCAGGTGTTTCCTGGATGGGTGTGGTGGGTGGGGCAAGGAGCCCAGGATGTACAGAGAAGGGAAAATACAGGGCCCAGCAGCCACAGCCCGCCAAAGACGGGGAGATTTTTCCAGTGGAGAAATTTCTTCTGAATGGAAACGCTTGCACCATTTCATGTATCCGTTTCCCCTCTTCTCTTTCTATTTCCACGACCTCATGTTAGGCTACCATGTCTGTCCAAACTCCAACTGCAGTCTGGAACTAGACTGCTTGCCTCTAGCTTCCTCCTCTGCCCCAGGAGAGAACATCATCACCCCTGCCCACCTGCACTGGGGCCACCAGCTCTCCCCACCCCCCTCTCCCAACCCTGGAGCCTGTGAGACCAGTTAGGACATTGTCCCCTTTGGCTGCTGGCATTGGTTATTTCCTGCTCACTGACCCACCCCACACTGCCTGTCAGGTCCCAGGCCTCAGGCCTGACCTGCCTGCCTCTACCTCCCCTCCTGTCCTCATGTCAGTCACACTAACCAGGATGACTGTCCCTCACTGGATCTTCATTTCAGCCCCTTGAGACTTAACATGCACCCCCCCCCTTTTAAAAAGATTTATTTATTTATTTGAAAGTCAGAGTTACACACAGAGAGAAGGAGAGGCAGAAAGAGAGAGAGGTCTTCCACCTGCTGGTTCACTCCCCAGTTGGCCACAATGGCCAGAGCTGTGCTGATCTGAAGCCAGGAGCCAGGAGCCTTCTCTGGGTCTCCCACGTGGGTGCAGGGGCCCAAGGGCTTGGGCCATCTTCTACTGCTTTCCCAGGCCACAGCAGAGAGCTGGATCAAAAGTGGAGCAGCAGGGACTTGAACCGGTGCCCATTTGGGATGCCAGCACTGCAGGCAGTGGCTTTACTGGCTATGCCACAGCACCGGCCCCATGGGTCCCTTTTTCTGCCTGCAGTCAGCTGTGCTCTCCCATCTGCCATGTTGGGTCAGGCACTAAACAAATGTTTTGCAATCCCAAGTTGTGGGTTCGAATCCTGGCTCAGACTTTAGACAAATTTTCAAGACTCAGTTTCCCCTGCTGTTCAAGATGACTGCCTCCCTTGCATACCTGTCCCTGGATTGACAGTGCCCAGTTACCTAGCTCCTGACAACAGGCAGTCCACAGACACTGGCACTGTTGACTTGCTGTAACTAACCTCCGTGTGGAACCCCAGCAGTGTGCCTGCCCCTCTGACTCAGCTCGAGGAGCATATGAACCAATGGGTCTGATGCTTTTGTAAACTGAAAAACCCCTTGGATGAAGCTAATTATTATTTGCATCTCTATTAACATATCCATTCTTTTTTGTTGTTGTTGTTCATTCATCCATTCATTCACTTAATGTTTGCTGAGTCCCCTAACATTCCCTGCTATGTCCTAAGCTCAGCTGGAGGATATCAAGACGAATTTGAAATTGCCCCCAAAGAGCACCTGGTGTCCTGGTGGACTCACACAGTGGGGCAGCCAAGTCTCAAACCAGGCAGTGGACCTGGGGCCAAGTTGGGAGCTGTGGACCAGAGGAGCACTGATTGTTTAGGGATGAGTCCCAGAAGAGAAACCCCATCCTGGGCTGGGAAGAGTGTGACGAGGCACACAAGGGCGTGACAGGTCCAGAAGACTGGGTCAGTCAGTTAGGGCTGGGGGCAGGAGGCCGCTTAGAGTGCAGGAAGCTGCAATGTCAGAGCAAGAAGCCGAGGGCACAGGGCTGTGGGCTAGAGGGAGGGAAAGTGATATGGGATGGGGTGCACCTGGGGAGACTGGGACAGGACAGGAGGACTGAGGTAGACAGCACCCACAAGGAAGGTTCTGAGTTTGGAGGGTGCCATGGGCCCCACTAGGCTGCTGGCCCTTGGAAGAGATGTTTTCAGTCATCTGTTGATTCTCCCACAGTCCTCTCATAGTTCAGGGAATCCAGAGGGAAGGCTCGGGATGGGAAACTTCAGAGACCCACAAGGAGAACTGCCACCCTGGACTATGCCTCACTGTGCCTCTCCCTCCCACCTGCAGGCAATAGAAGGGGCCGGGTTCTGCCCAGGAGTGACACCACCTTTAAGGTAACAATGAGAAGCAACAGGAGAATGGGGTTTGTGTTTCAGGAGTCCCCCTTTGAGTAGGTGGTGCCAAAATGCAAGAGGTTGTGGTATGAATTTGATAGGAAAGAAAAATATAGCAAAGAAAAAACACACATGGTGTAATCTCCAGGAGCCCTGAGGGAGGTGGGGACTGGAGACCAGGGAAACAGACAATGTAATCAGAGGGACCTGAGAGCTCTGCTGCCTCTGAGCAAAACAGGCTACTCCAATGTCAGTTCCCTGATTGGTCCATGTAGCCTGCCTTATTAACATACACTTTCAGTTCTCTGATTGGCTGTTATCCCTGCCTTCTGGTTGGTTGTTATTCTGGCCTCCTGATTGGTTGTTATCCCTGCCCTCTGATTGGCTATTAGTCTCCTCCTCCTCTAATTGGTTAAATCTGTATCTGGTTTTCAGAAAGGGACAGAGAGAGGCACTCTGTGTATAAAAGAGCCAGCGCTGGTAAGGTTCTTTGGCAACTTCTTTCTTGGAGTCTATCTCCTGACTGCCACAGCAGGAGGGTTCTGGAGAACAACAAATTTCATTTTGCTCACTGTCTCTGTCCACATGGACATTTCTTCTTCAGCCCGAGACAAGAGCTGAGATCCAACAGTGGCACACTGAAGGGCAGGCAGCTGGAGGCGTGCAAGGGAGCTGGAAACAATTCACCCTAAAGGCTCCTCTTCCCCAGCCATGGAAAACCTGAAGGACAGGCTGGCAGCATGCGGGCGTGAACATAGACGTGGACTTGCTGAGTAGACAGGCTGCTGCAGGGTGCGTGGCTGTACATTGTCAAAGGCTCAGGATTGATGATGCTTTTTCTTCTCATACGTGGAGGAATGGGCGCCTGGGACAGAATCAAGGTCTCTCTGAATGCCCGGAAACCAGTCAGGCCTGGTACAACTCCTGCTGCCCTCGTTTGCAAAAATAAACACTTGAAAGTCTGCCCAGATTGTTGTAATCTTATTAATCTAACAAAGAGACTGGGGACTGCCTGAACCAGGGGATCCGCGTTTACTATGTAATTTGCAACAAACTGATAAACACACCCTTGCCTTGCTTGCTGAAAGCACGAAAACAGTAACAGAAGAGCAAAGACCTCAAAGGCTGGTTCCGGTTCCTGGCTAAATATTTGCCTGGTTCCCCCAGCCCTGGCCGCCCAGCCCCAGCCACCTCTGAGTTGGGGGAGCATGTGGCCTCCCGGGGCTGGGTGGCTCTGCAGTCGTTCCGGTGCCCTGGGGGGATTTCAGACCTGTCTCCCCTCTGACACCCTCTCATCATCCCTGAGGGTTCTGGAGGATAGAACCCCCAGCTACCCCTTCATCAGGAGGCCACCAGCTCTGCAAATCATCTCTGAGAGAGGTCTGAGCACCTGTGTTTCTTATCAGTGTTAAAATCCCAGTTTTTTATTTTAACAATAAATTATTTGAGAAACAGAGGAACAGGCAGACAGAAGAGCAGGTGAAGAACTCCCATTTGCATGTTCATTCCATAAGTGCCTGCAATGGCTCGGGCTGGGCCAGGCCTAGCCCAGCTGAAATCAGGAGCTCAGTCCAGGTCCCCACATGGGTAGCAGGAGCCCAAGTTCTTGAGCCATCACCACTACCTCTCAGGGTCTGCATTAGCAGGAAGCAAAAGTCAGGAGCTGGGGCCAGCACTGTGGTGTAGTGGGTAGAGCTGCCTCCTGCAGTGCCGGCATCCCATACGGGCGCCAGTTCAAGTCCCAGCTGCTCCACTTATGACCCAGCTCTCTGCTATCGCCTAGGAAAGCAGTGGAAGATGGCCCACGCCCTTGGGCCCCTGCACCCGCGTGGGAGACCCAGAAGAGACTCCTGGCTCCTGGCTTTGGACCCATGCAGCTCTGGCCATTGTGGCCAATTGGGGAGTGGACAAGCAGATGGATGGAAGGCTTCTCTCTCTCTCTCTCTCTCTCTCTCTCTCCCTCTCCTCTCTCTGTGTAACTCTGACTTTCAAATAAATAAATCTTTAAAAAAAAAAAAAGAATCAGGAGCTGAAGCTAGGAATGAATCCAGGTGCAGTGTGAAATGCAGCATCCTACCTGCTAGACCCAACACCTGCCCCTCCACGATGTTCTAAAACATTTGTCCTTATCAGGATCCTACGATCTGAGTCACTGAGTACAAAAGCATCCTAACCTTTACTAATCTAATTTTAAAAATGTGTCTGTCTGTCAGTGGCTGTGATCTGCACTGCGATGGAATTTGTCCCTTACTTGGAAAGGTTGGAATGCTTGGGATCCGGGGCCCGGCAGGGGCCCGGTCAGCATCGGCTGCGTGGGGGAATGGGCACGGAGCCCTGTGGCTCTGGCGGTGGCAGCGTTATTGAAAGGTGGACGTGCTTTTGTGAGCGTGGCACAGACAAAGCCTTGATTGTCTTTTTCTTTTTTCTTCCTTCCTGTTTGTTTATTTCCCCTCTTCTTACCCTTTTAGATTACCTCCGTCTGCACTGTTGGGAACAGTGAGCCCCACCAGCCACACACACACACACACACACACACACACACAGCGTGGGAGAATTCTCCATGTCCCATGCTATTACTGAAATCTAAACGCAACTATTTAGATTCCAAGTCTTCCAGGCGGGCACTGTGTTTGTCAGTTTGTCTTCTGCGTCGCCTACATCCTACTGTGATTTCTCAGCAAGACATAATAATTATCCATAATTGCAGTGGGCATGGCAGCCAGATAAAGTCTGAACACTAAACCCATCCCTTCTAAGAACCAAAAAAAAAAAAAAAAAAAAAAAGCAGTGTGCAGTGCCATGGATCTTTGGCAGCTGGAAGGTACCTGGCGAGTTCCTCAGACTCAGCTCTGGGTCAAGTTTTTGAAATGAGAGTGGGCCACTTCTTTTCAAATAACCGTGCTGTGGGGTGAGAAGTCAGGCAGGACTGAGATGCTGGAAGGGCAGAGGCCGCCAGCCACCTCTTCCTGAGCCACCGTGTGATTGAATCCATCTCCACTAGCCTGCTCCCTTCCTGCAGGCGGCAGCCAGGGTGCAGCCAGTCACCCTCAGACATCACCCCAGAGATGCGTCTGCCCTGTCCAGGCCCTCCTCCTTCTCCCCCCGAGCAAAAGCTCCTGCCAGGCCGCATTAGAAAGGAGTGACACAGACACAACTGGAAGTCCTCGCGCTCCAGTGCTGTGCGGAGAGGAGGGGAGGCGGCCAGCAGCAAAGGCCCCTGCACGGGCTCATATGTCCTCCAGGTTGCATCTGTCACATCTGTTGTCACAGCAGAGCTGCCGGCAGATGTGCGCTTGATCAGATGGCAGAGTGGCCGCCACGGCACCGGGAGCTGCCTGCAGCTGTGTGGGGAGGAACTGGGGCTCTCCGCCTGCATGGGGCTGAACCCCCTCAAAGCTGGTCTCAGGTGACTTCTCACACCCCAAGTTCTTCCAGGGTGGCTGCACATCCCGGCCCCAGACCACCGAGCCTAGCAGCTGCAGCAAGCCCCTGCTGTGTCCACTGGCAGCCCTGCGCCCGACAGCGCCGCAGATTTCTGCCTGGATGGGACCCAGGAGAGTCCCAGGGTCCCTGGGCCTCTAGGTTTGGCAGACACAGACCGAGGGCAGCTGTTGTGGGTTCAGACTGCAGCGCCGCCTCGGGCGCATCTCTTAAGAGCTCCTTGCCTCAGTTTCCCAGAGGGCAGAGTGGGGATGCCTGTGCCCCCCCATCTGAAGACCGCCAAGTGGTACAGGTGCTCTCTAGCCGTCCTCAGTACTGAACTCTGTTTATTGCCAAGGTCTTCAAAAAGGCCACCCTCTGGCATTTAAGAGGCCGCTGAAGGCCGGCTTCGTGATGTAGCGGGTTAAAACACAGCGTCACGTGGGCTTTAGAAACAAACTTGGGGTCACGGAGGGAGCACTGTGATAGACACAAGATCTCCAAGTCGACGTCCTCACTGGTTTACAGAAGGAGGGGGTTGGTTAACATGGTAACCAGTCTCTCCCCGCTCCCTGCTCCTCTGATGCCAGGCTGCTTCGATTCTGCAGTTTCATGCATATCAGGTGAAGCTTGAGGCCCCACTGAGGTTGTTAAGGAGAAAGGCAAAACCATCAAATCTAACTGTCAAAGGGCAGGGGCCGGCCCTGGAAGGACAGGTGAGGCCCAAGCCCTCACCTGCAAATGTTTCCATCTGGCGGGCGTGGGACTTCGCTGCTGAGCGGTGCAGAGCCAATCACGCCTAACATGGCCCTTCCGTGCGTCCCGGCAGTGTCGGCATTCCAGTCACCGCTGGGGCAGGCTGGCACGGGCGCCTGTCTGCAAAAGACAGCCTTCTAGATAATGCTGCCGAGAAAAATGGAGCCTTAGACATGAGAGTGTTTTCAAATATTATTACGGCTCTATAAATATCGCACGCCCACAGCCTATCAGGTGCCACATGGGAAACAGTGGATTTCAGTTGGAGATTTTCTTAAAAGACACGTGACACAGCCATATGCCAGTCATGTTGGAGTGTATTTAAGTACGTGCTGTGGAAGCAAAGATGAGCTGTGTCAATATGTATAGAAAAATCCCACAAAAGCGAGTCCGTGGGGTGTGTATTATGTGCACCTAGGATCAGAAGCATCTGCCTGATTCCTCAGTTCCTGGAGAGCTGTTTCACCCATACGCTACAGAGTGCTTAGCAGAGTGAGGAAATAATGCAGTCGTAATCAGGGCGCGATGATCAGGGGTCCCCGGGGTCTCCTCCTGGGGTGGTCCAGGGCCTTTGCATCTGGAAAGAACAGCTTCAGAGCTGGGCACAGCAATTAACCTCCCACTGCCAAAGGGAACACCGCCGGAGGAAAGCAAAGCGTTGGCACGGGAGACGTGCGGGAGGAAACTGTGCAAACCAGCGGGCGGAGACGGCAGGTGGGTGTGTCGGCTGAAGTGTGTCCCCCAGACCCTGCGTGGAAGCCCTAGCTGCCAGGGCGATGGCGTCTGGAGACGAGGCCTCAGGGAGGTGACCGGGATTCCGGGAGCTCACGGGCTGGGGACCTGTTGGTGAGAGCAGCGCCCTTAGAGGAGACGCCAGCGAGGACACAGCAAGAAGGGAGCCCTCCGCCGACCTTGACCATGCTGGCGCCCCGTCCCAGGACGTCCAGTCTCCTGAACTGGCAGGGAACAGATGTCCGTTGTTGGAGCCCCTCCCACCCCCAGCCCCAGTCTGTGGTATTCTGTTAGTGCAGCTGGAGCTGACTCATCCCTCGGGGTCCTCACACTGAGCTTTCCCAGATAGTGACGAGATAGCAGTTAGGGATGCCATCAAGCCAAGAGACACATTCAAGGGCTGAGTCTCGGCAGAGCTCATTGTTGAGGGCTGAAAGGATGTGTGACTGGTAGGGAATCAGTCCTGAGCTGGAGACAGGAAGTTGCCC